TACTGAATCAGGTTCCCTAGAAATTGTTGCTCCGCTGACACGGGAGGAAGACACGAAACGGAATCTATTTGACAATTGATTCCCGCGCATCAATTTGTCAAATAACATCCTTAAATAAAAACATAATTAATATTAGACTATTTCAATTAAATGTTTAAAAAAAATTTTCAACCAATTAAATAATATATTGATCGGGTTACCGGATGTACGAGTGCATCACACTGATGCCTAACTCTCGATGATGAAAGATTTGTTCCATGTCCTTTAATCCAATTGTTTCGGTACACGGAAAACCAAAGACAATTTCATCCACATCGATTTGACGAATTCCATCATTCATCAAATCTGATGTGCCAACTAGTGTCTCCAGACACTGTCGATACCTAGGCACAAATTTACGGACAGGAACCTTCTTCTTAGGTGGAACCCTACTAACTTTCTGGCTCACCTGCTGTGACTGATCTTGAGAAGGTACCTTAAAAATCATATAGAATTATGTAAGATACAAAGTTATGCAGTTTTTTATTCCAATCATAAATGAAACACTATAAAAGTACCTGTCTTTGCGATGCAATAGACTCGCCGCGCTGCAAAATCCCTTTATCCTTAGATGCGGGTTTTGTAGGAGTCTAAAATTACCATGTATAAAATTCAGGTCAGAACTGTCAGTTGAATTCTTAAAGATTCATAATGGTTTTCAATATACCTGATCATCTATGCAGATGAGGTCTGATGGCCATGCCACAAAAGATCCTACTGCATCTCGCAGCAATGTGGTCTCCGCAACAATGTCAGGTACCGGTAGCAATGCATTCATATCTAAAACAACATCAACCGATACCTTCATGTGGCCATCCGGGAGCAGTCTATGGTGAATTAAATCTCCCGAGGTGTTGTGCACTTTTCCCTTGCCAACTACCCGATAAGTCGGAGACGCTAGATACAGCTGACAACATGAAATGCCCTAAACCAATAATAACCGTTAGACTTCCTTTAATGTTGACAATAATAACCGTTATAATTATACTTTCTCTAAATATAATGGATTATCATCTTAATTACCTCGGGAAAATTTTGTTGACGGTTGATACTAGCCTTGTCACTAGTTTCTTTCAACTGTGAACTGCTCCTTTCTGCCATATATCTCTCTTTGTCCCTCTGCAGTTCACGGACTTGTGCTTGTAAATCCTGCAATGTTTGCATCACTTCTGCATTGCTAGGATTTCTTTTTCTTGGATTGTTATACAGAGAGGTAGAGTCACACCATGGCCTTTACCCCTCACTCGTCCCAGATACTCAGCAACACATAGTGCTCGACTGAGTATGCTCCTGATATTCTAGTCATCACCCGAGGATACCGATTGCGATATAGTCTCCTGTAATTCATTTAAATATCGATAATTAAAGACACAACGTTAATTATATATTAATTAAAGACATAATGGTATACTTACACACTCATCATAAATATGTTGCAGATCGGGGTTAACAACTTTATCTCTGCCAACACGAGCTTCCTTCCACAGCACATGTGCAGGTAGTGATGTTTCGTCACTCTGCATCTCCTCCAACTACGAATTGTTACAAATAATAAAATCATCAATACATATTGTTACAAATTAATAATACACATTGAGATAATTAATAAGATCGTAGAATTGAGATTTACTTACAATTTTTTCCTGTAAGCGTGCATATCCCAAACGACCTTTTTTATATGGATATGCGGGTTTTGAAGCTCTATCCCGATTTACAGCACTCACTTTCTTGAAATTCTCGTCTCTTCTTTGGCCCACAAAAGCAACCCATTCTTCGGGTGTAATGAAGCTCTCATATTTTTTTGGTCGTTCAGGATCCTCTTCAAAAAAATTTCCTTCATCGTCTTTAAGAAACTTATTTGTCAAAAAATTTCTCCACCCTCTATGTCTTTTTCCGGCCAAGCCCATTATATACTTTTTGCGGGCATCTTCAATGTTAAAAGACCTCTACAAAAAAACATACGCATAGAGGGTGTTAGTATATGTAATTTAAAAACAATATTTTCGTCAAAATAAAGCAAATAACAACAACCATATATGATACCTTTATCTCGGTCCAAATTCTTTCTTTAGCATCCAACTCTCCTTTTTTCCAGCTAGGAGTGGTGATCGGAATGTGCATACGAACAAGCGTACCGATGTAGCTTGTCAGCTTTGCAGAATTAGGCCCAATTAGTTGGTCATCATTATTCCAATCTACATTATACTTAATACCTCTATCTCTATCACGGATGATTCCCCACATGATAGTTATGCCTCGTGTGATGTCCTTATCTGAAGTGTCTTGTGGAACATTATCTTGTGGAACATTATCTTGTGGAACATCTCCTTGTGGAACATTTTCTGAATTATCTTGGTTACTAGCCATTTGACCTGTAATAAAGAAAAATTAGATTAAATTAAATGACATGTATAAAATTCCATAAAGCAAAAAAATGAAATGACGTATATTTAAATTTTACTGGATGATATAGGCTATATATATTATACTATAATGAAAAAAATGAAATGATATAGGCTATATATATTATACTATAATGAAAAAAATGAAATGATATAGGCTATATATATTATACTATAATGAAAAAAATGAAATGGCATATATATACATTTTATTGAATGACATTGTCTATAATTATATATACTATTACCTTTTTCACTAACATCTCTTTCTTTTCTTGGTAGGAATATGTTCTACTCGTCTCTTAACAACGCGGACGGTTGGATTGATCCAAATACCCTCATTATGATCATTTCTAATGTATGATTCATTCTCATTTTGATCATTTCTGGTAAAAGATTCAATGTCAACACCAGTATCGCCTTGGTCTCCAATCTTTTCATCAATTACTTTGTTAGAGAAAAGCACTATAGACCATTTCTTACTTGTCGGATCAGTGACATAGAACACTTGTTTAGCTTGAGAGGCTAGAATGAAAGGCTCATCTTTGTACCCCGCCCTGTTAAGATCCACTTGCAAAAATCCTGACTTATCCATCCGTATACCATTATTATTTTCAACCCACTTGCAACCGAATATAGGAATCTGAAATTTCTCGTAATCAAAGACCCAAATGCGCTCGATAACCCCAAAATACGACAGATTTGCAAATTTCGGGTTTAAGTCCTTCACACTAGATATGTGCATTGCTTCAGCTACCAAGGTGACACCACTATTTTGCACAGTACTTTTATCATCTTGTTCTTTGGTATAAAATGTGTATCCATTAATTGCGTATGCGCTATAAGAAAACGCAACCAAACTTGGACCATATGCTAAACATCTCAACCTTTCTGTCACTGAGGCGGGATCTGAACGATACTTTGAATAAATATGTTCCTTAAACCATGGTATGAAACTTCGATTGTGCTCTCGTACAATCCAATTCTCATTTCTATTCGAATTTAAACCTCGAAGAACACCCTTGTGTATTTCGACATACGGCTCAACCTCAATCTCATTGTGCAGAACATACAAATGCACTTGATCCCGTTCGACCCTTGATACTGTCACAACTTTATTTCCAATTAGCTTCTTACCTTCTTTTTTTTCAACAACATGAGATTTGGGGAGTCCAATTGACTGAACATTTGACAAATATTCAGTACAAAACTCAACTACTTCTTCAACAATGTATCTTTCGGCAATACAACCCTCTGGTCGACTCCGATTTTTCACATACCCTTTTAATATTTTCATATAACGTTCAGCAGGGTACATCCATCTCATATAAGCTGGTCCGCACAATTGTGTCTCTTTCATAAGATGAACGACAAGATGAACCATTATGTCAAAAAACGAGGGAGGAAAATACATTTCAAGCTCACACAAAGTAACAACTATTTCTTTTTGCAATGTTGGTAAGATCTCCGGATCGATCACCTTACTGCAAATTGACTTGAAGAAAAAACACAATTTAGTTATTGCGCTTCTTACCTTTTCTGGCAGAATAGAAAGTATACCTATCGGTAGAAAATGTTCCATTATAACATGGCAATCATGCGTCTTTAAACTCTTTAACTTGAGGTCTTTCATAGACACAAGTCTTCTAATATCTGATGAGTAGCCTTCTGGAACTTTAACTTCACTCAGAAACTTACACAATATTTTTTTCTCATTTCTAGATAGAGTGTAAACAGCAGGTGGTAGGTATGTCCGTCTTCCTTTCTTCACGGGTCCCAGTTCAGTTCTTATTCCCATGTCTACCATGTCCTCCCTTGATTTAAGGCCATCCTTAGACTTCCCTTTTATATTGAGTAACGTACCAATAACACTGTCAAATACATTTTTTTCAATATGCATCACATCAAGAAAATGTCTTACGTACAAAGATTTCCAATATGGCAATTCAAAAAAAATCGACCTCTTCTTCCACCCACCTGTGACAACTTTATGTGCAAAAGGCATGCCAAACTGAATATTCACATCTTTCACCATTTCAAAAATTTGATCACCTGTCAAACCAGGCGGAGCTCTACGTTGTTCGGTATCTCCGTTGAACGCTTTTCTCCATCCACGATACTGATGTTTAGAAGTTAAGAATCTACGATGACCGAGAAAGACATTCTTCTGACAAAGTTTCAATCGCATGGTATCGGTTCCGTCTTCACAAACAGGACACGCTTTTTCACCTTTAATGATATACCCGGATAGATTGCCGTATGCTGGAAAATCATTAATTGTTCCAAACAACATCGCCCTCAAGTTGAAACTTTCTTTCCTATAACCATCATAAACCTCCACACCGTTCTACCACAAAATCTTCAAATCTTCGATTAATGGTTCCAAGTATACGTCTATGTCATTTCCTGGTTGTTTAGGCCCAGAAATTAACATAGACAACATCATGTACTTACGCTTCATACATAGCCATGGAGGTAGGTTATAAATCATAAGAATCACATGCCATGTGCTATGCGAGATACTTTGAATACCGTGTGGTTTCATTCCATCAGTAGACAATGCCAAGCGAAGGTTTCTTGCTTCTTTTCCAAATTCAGGATAATCATTATCAATTTTCATCCACTGTGGAGAATCTGCCGGATGTCGAAATTTTCCATCAATAATTCTTTCATCTGAATGCCAAGTCAAGTGTCTTGAATCGGTTTCACTACGATACATCCGTCTAAATCTCGGGATTATAGGAAAATACCATAAGACTTTTGTCGGAGACAACTTTTTCTTATATCGAGGGGCACCGCATTTAGGACACTCATTTAACGATGCATACTCGTTTCGAAACAAAACACAATCTTTTGGACACGCATGTATCTTATCATAGCTCATGCCAATGGAGTACAACATCTTTTTGGCCTCATACGTTCGATTGGGAAGAACATTATCCTCTGGTAGCATATCTTTCATAAGGGCTAATAACTCTGTGAAACTTCTATCCGACCATCCATTGCCAGCTTTTAAGTTGTACAACTTTAACACCGCAGACAATCTTGTGAATTTTGTACAACCATTATACAACGGTTTCTCTGCATCGCTTACCAACCTCTCGAACATTTTGGGACAATCGTTAAGATCTTCTTCAAGCGCTTCTGCAATTTCTTCGACTCGATCATAATCGTATGTATCTGTGCAATCATCATTTGAAACATAGGTCCTTGCATACCCCGATTCAACATTCCCGTTACTTTTCTCACCACGCATATTCCAACATGTATAACTCCTATCAATTCCATACCGAATTAAATGCGATGCCAACTAAAGTGCGTCAACCCGGTTCCCATAACAGTAATACAAACAGGGACATGTCATACGACTGGGGTCTTTGGCGTGCACAACAACAAACTTAACAAACTCGGAAACACCATTCTCGTAGTCTTTCGACAATCGATTGGAATACATCCATGTCTTATCCATATCAACTAATTAGTGCACAAAACAGTAGTATACTGCGTTTCTGTCAAAACGCAAAGTATACACGGAATGAATCCGTATCAAGAAAATGCAACATACGAAAGACAATTTAAGACAAATTCATCACAATATATACCATTAATTTGAGGAAGAAAGTTACCTCTCATATGTTTCGAACTCTAAGAAACGCGGAGAATGAGCGTCGTACGTCGAACTAGGCCGGGAAACGCTGCAATTTCATAGAATGTTATTCAATATTTCGGATCGATTGTCGAAAGATATATACTATTTTAACATAAAGGTTCACAATAAATGTCACATATATATTTTCAATGTTTGGGAAAGCTATGACAATAATACAACACAAATATTAGAAATAATGAATTCACAAAGTCAACATAAACCCACAAATATAATCCAAAACACAAACCATTTCAATGTTACCACCAAAATTATGTAGCATGCACCCGGAGAAATAAAACATAAGAAACACATAAGAATCCAAACATATACTAACAGCATTATCTATCCCTAGAAATACTAATTAGTTTAAATTTTTAACAAAAGAGTTACTAATTAGTTACTTGTAATTTTGTTCCATTGTTTTGCATGAAAAAGAGACAAAATTGGAGAAGGAAAGAATCAAAGGTTACGTTCACTTGACGCATAGATCAGTAAAGGAGATTAAGTATGAAGCTGATTTTGAAGTACCAGCAAATTTTGGTGAGATTGGTGTTGTTCTTGTGGAAAATGAGCATAAAAGAGAATCATTTATGAAAGAAATTGTTCTAGATGGCTTTCTCACTGGTCCTATTAAATTTTCTTGTGATTCTTGGGTTCATTCCAAGTTTGACAACCCTGATTTGAGAGTATTTTTCTCCAACAAGGTATATTTATCATAGTGAAGTAATAACAAACTTAACTAACCAATAACTACTTCTACCTAAATATAATAACTAACCTAACTAACTTTTTTTGAATAGTGCTATTTGCCATCTGAAACACCGGAAGGATTGAAAAGGTTAAGAGAAGGCGAACTGGTAGCCTTATGAGGCAACGAACAAGGCGAACGAAAGGTTTTTGAACGTATATATGACTACGATGTGTACAATGATCTCGGAAATCCAGACAAGGATCCTGGTCTCAAGAGATCTGTTCTTGGTGGCAAAGAACATCCGTACCCGAGACGCTGTAGAACTGGAAGGCCTCGTTGCGCTAAAGATCCCTTGTCTGAGAAGCCAAGTGACAAAGTCTATGTTCCACGAGACGAAAGCTTCTCTGATGTAAAGCAAGCAACATTTTCTGTAAATACGTTAAAGTCGGCTCTCCACGCGCTTGTGCCTGTTTTAAGAACATCTGTAGTTGACAAGAATCTTGGATTCCCTATTTTCTCAGCCATAGATGATCTTTTCAATGAAGGATATAACTTGCCTTCTCAACAACAAAAGGATTTGAAGACTATTTTGCCAAGGTTGGTTAAGCTTGTTCAAGATGTAGGTTTTTGTTTAACACTAGTAAAATGTAGTAATAATATAAGATGAACAGATAATGGAACAGATAATGGAAGAAGATAATGGAAGAAGAAGAAACTTTCCAAGATGGACAAGATGAACAGATAACGGCGGCGACGACTGAAGAAGACGGAACGAACGGCGGAGACGACTGAAGAAGACGGAAGAAATGAAGAAGACGAAGAAATGAACAAGTGAGGGAAAATATCAGATTTAGGGATTTTTAATATAATTATAAAACAACCTACGAAAGCGCTTTTAAAAGCGCTTTCTAAGACCCATATATGAGAGCGCTTCTGAGGTAAAAAGCGCTTTCGTATGTCCCCCATATAAGAGCGCTTTAGAAAGCGCTTTCGTAGGTCCCCCTTTCAGAGCGCTTTTCAAAAGCGCTTTTATAGGGCCACCTATAAGAGCGCTTTTCAAAAGCGCTTTCGTAGGTTAGATATTTCAAATACCTATGAAAGCGCTTTCTGAAAAGCGCTTTCGTAGGAAACCCTATAAAAGCGCTTTTTTTAAGCGAATTTTTTTTAAAGGCTACAAAAGCGCTTTCTCTTAAAAGCGCTTTCGTAGATGCGCTGCCAAAAATTGTTTTTTTCGTAGTGAGCGCTTAGTATTGAGTGGAAGGACTTGGGTTCAATCCCAGGTCCCAACAATTTTTCTTTATTTCACTTTCTTGTAGCAGATCCAATGCATCATCCTTCTTGGTGACCACCATGCACACTTGCGTCCAACCATTTGATCCAGCGTGTCATCAGATCTAACGCCCCATCCATGAGGGACCATGGTACACATTCAAGTTAACTCTACACAGGATCTAGTATTGACCAGGCTTGGAGTATTTTTGGGCTTGGAAATTCAGATAGAGCACCCCCAGATCTGCTAACAACATACAGGCCCATTTTCAATTCTTTTTTTTTTACTAATTATTTTGTTCAATTATTTTTCCACCAAAAATTAATCACCTTTTTTTATTTAATCATAAAATCAACAAATCACAAAATACCAAAAAAAGCATTTTTTTAATAAATTATTTAATTTAATTAGAAATATTAGGTTAATTTAATTTCTTTTCTATAATTAAAATCAAATAGAAATTAGGTTTAATTTTACCATTAAATTTCTTTTCTCAAATAAACCCAAAATACACAAAATCTTGTTTTCTTTGTAAAATATTTTATTTTCTTGAAATTATTTAATTTAGCTAGATTAGGTTAATTTCAATTTATTTTTTCATAATTAAAATAATTAGAATTAGGGTTTAGTCGTACATAACTCAATTGATTCTTCTCTCAAAAAATAATCTCTTTCTTTCAATTGGGATTTAGGTTATTTTTCAACATCCCTCACATTTAATTTACCGCGCGCACTTTTATTTGTTTTATTATTATTGTAACTGTTTTAAGGTTGTAATAGTTTTAATTAGGGTTTTAAATTTTGCATCTTTTATTTCCTGTCCAAATAATTATGTAACTGTCAAAGCCTTGTAATAGATAAGTTTATTTTTTTTCACTTTTAAATTCCTGCAAATATTTAACTGTCTAGATATATGCTAATAGGCTTGTATGGCAAGAATTTTTGGAAATTTAAAATGGTAGATCACCTAATGTGCAAAGATTAAATAACTGAAACAACTCATATGCACATATTCACTCCTGGGGTTTACCTCACTTCGGTTGCCTTCGGTAAACAATCGTTAAGCATGTGAGATTTTAGTGGTTGCCCTCAAGTCTAAAAGATCAATGTCCTATTCGAATGTTGCCTCGAAAATGTTGCCTCGAAAGGATCTTAAGACTCTAGGGTTACTACTAAAGTTTTCTAACTATTGCTTTAGTGATTGTACTTGTCCCTTTTGAATGTCCCTTATAACTCCAACGAGGGTGCTACCTACTCCTTAATAGTAGGATAGCATTGTCTAAAGGAAATAAGAACGAACGATCTTTTTTCGAGTAGTAGAATCTTAAGTACTTGCTCAATAAATTTTTTTCACACAAACACCTTTCAAAACAAATTTTCAAAACAACTTCGTCACACTCTTGAGGACTGATACAAGGGTTATCACGAAGTAAAAGAATTTTCAAAACAAGCACACACAAGCAATTGGAAAAAATGAGCAAGTACCTAAGAGCCCGTGGAAAACCATAGATAGAAAGGGTTCTAAGACTTTCCCTTTCTATAATCTACCCCCCGTACTCAGAATATCTCAAAAAAAGGTTTTTTCTATTCTTTTTCCTTTACCATGATTGGATGAAATAAAAGTCGGTGGCGACTCTTGCTTACCGCGACATTTTGCGAACAAAAAATGCAAACCAGTAAAAATAGTCGGTTCTGCCACCGTATCACAGGTAAAATAAACAAAAAATGATAAAATAATAGTAAAGTAAAAAAAAAAGGTCACCAATATTTGTCACAATATCATTGGATCATTCCATAATTTTTTCAGAATTTTAAAATGTATAAAAATATTTTTAAACATTTAAAACAAATCAAATAAGTGTAAAATTTATAAAAAATACCAAAACATAAAATTAAATTGTGAAAAAATAAAAATAAGAAAGAGAATAATCAAAAATATTTTTCATAGATTTTTCAGATTTTTTAGACTAAAAATGAATTTTCTATGATTTTTTGAAATTTAAAACAATTAAAATATAAAAATCAGTAAAAGAAAATAAAAGTAAAATATGTAGACCATTGGATGAGAGTCAAAACGCGTTAGTAATAAAATCCAAGGGATTTGGCGCGCTGTGCATATCATGGTCATTAGTGAATAATGTACAGAATCATTAATTAAATCAGATTTAAAAAATACAGATGGTGCGCCTTCATTGGTTGGAAGATGACACGTTGGTCATCTAAAATCTCCAGCCATCACGAATTGCAGGTCTCTCAAACTGTAAAATCAGAAGCTCAGACCTATGACATTCGCTTCGTCTCTTCAAGACAAAGACAACCACGCTCTCGCGCCAAAGTTATATATGTAGCGGTAGAAATGTTCAAGACTAAGTCATTGGATTGACTAGACTTTATACAAATCAAAGTAAAAATCGCCATCGTACTTTATTGTTTCCAAATGAATGGGAAAAGAGTGAATAACCCAAAAAGAGGGGGAAATATTCAAGGTAAGGGGGTTAGTTATGCAAAGGGAAGGTATTAGCACCCTAAACATCTACGGTACTCCATAGGAACCTCTTTTAAAATCTGTATATTTTGGCTATAAAAATGTGTTGTATAAAAATAGATGGTGGAGATGAGAAGAGAAGTATTTTTTATGATTTTTTCACCCGCCGCGGTTGCGAACCTTTAGTGCCTAAGTACCACCTTTCGTGCAATAGGGGATCAGGGTTCACGTAGTTCCTCTTTTAAAAATTTGAAACACAAGTGTGTTGGTTGATTTTAAGAGATAAGACATCATCGTCATTGTTCGTGTGGAAAACATACTTACTACCCACAATCATGAGAAAGGAGAATTTTCATCATCTCAAAGTGGAGGATATGGCTTGGATCTTAAAATCAACAATGCCTCACTCAACACCCAAGTGGAAAATATCTCACTTCACTACATATTGTAGAAGTATAGTTGTTTTCATCACTACAAGGATTGACAAGAGTCTAATCTTTTGAGAAAAGTTTAAAGATAAAATCCAAAGTGGAAAAATGGTTTGAAATGAGATTGATTGACTTTTAGTCTTCTCACAAAAATGTCAAGGTATTATTAAGTTGATTTCAGTTTATTGATGAAAATGTTTCGAAAATGCATGGACCTAAGTCCATGTTTATCATGAAAGTGTTTCAAGTTTTAAAACAAGAAGGGTTTTCAAAAGGAGGCAGAAGATTTTTGAAATTAAAGAAAATGGGAGGAGAAGAAGAGACTACCCTAAAGCATAAGGTAAAATCTAAGGATAAGGACCATCTAACTAACAAGAAGCCAAAGCTTGACCATATGAGCAAAGATAGAATTCCCATTCTTTGGATTGAAACCAAGCAAGCAAAGATACTAGACCTCTTCAAGTGTATTAAGTCTTCACAAAAATTGGGCAGAGTAACGGCTGTATACGGGTGAATTCCATATTACAAACAAAGAATGTAATCACAAAAACCTGCACACAAAAAACAAACAAGCAACCCAATGTCTTTAGGTAAACCTCAAGAACTTCAGACAAAATAATCAGAGTAATATCACAAGGTCTCCAAGATAGGCCAAGGTTTCTAATCCTAAGTCCAAGAAATAGTCCCATGCTCCATAATTCCAAGGATAGTAACAAAATAGTCCAAGTACCATTAAGAGTTTTTTAGGGTTTATGTTGATTATTAAGTATCTTAAGAAAAGAAAATAAAAGCTCAAGTGAGCAAAGATGAAAATGGCATGAAATGTAAATGCTGAAAAATAAATAGTACATAAAGCATAAAAAGAATAAAAGCATAAGATAAAACAAATCAATAATTAGTGGTTAGTTGGATGACAATCTTGAAACTTGCATTTGGAACTCATTAGAGGATTGGTAGAACCAAAGCCTCCACACAACAAGTTGCATTTGCTTTTTGTCAAGTATATCATCCATTTGGAATTCTCACAAGTACCATTTAATGATCAACGATGTTTAAGTGATCCGCGTTGACCAAAGGTGTTGTAGATCCATTAGAGGATTGGTAGAACCAAAGCCTCCACACAATGAATCTCAAGGTTATTGGATCAAAGAGATCAAATTAACATACTTTGGCTTGCAATCATAAGTTTGGGCCACAAATGATCATTTATTCGAATCAGGACAAAATTTAGCACTATGTTAAGCAACCGTAGGTGGACTGATATAGAAGTCGCACCTATTTTGAGGCCGGTCAATAGCAATCTATGCACCATTTGTTTTGAGACATGATATAGAGATCATGCTCCAACAACATTTAGTGCAATAAGAAGGGGATGAGATGAAGAGGATTAGGGCAAAAAGATGAATAAACCACTTTTGAATTAAAAATTTAATCAAACTATTATTAAAATCAATCATCCATTTTGGTGGAGTTGAACTCAACACCCAAGATCCAATGATGTTAATAAAGTCATGATCAAAAAATCAACTCAAGACAGCCAGAAAATAATCACAAAATAATAATATATTTAATATATACATTTAAAGGGTTAAAACAAGTTTAAAAATAG